AAAGAGTTTAGTAATTTCTTATAACTTCAAAGGGGGGGGGGTCACTGAGTTTAGTAAAAATGCATATTCTATACAATTTTCCCCAAAATAAGCTACCTGCATGTTGGATAATTACAATCAAGTCACAAATTTTTTGGCACAAGGGGCAGGAAAGTATAATAGAGAAAGGAATAAGTGTCCCTCCTTTCTCTATTGAAGGGAAATATGCTATTTTATATTTAGTTTTCTGTGTTTACAACTAAAAAGAAAACAACTATGAATCAATTATAGTATAGTTGTTAGGCAAGACATTACAGAAAGTAGATGATATGAACAAGAGAACCACAGAAAAAATCCTACTTACTGTGCTCACTAGGTAAGTACATTGGAAAGGGATAAAACATTGTGCGAATACGGAAACCTCTTCCTGCAGAGATGCTCAGCATATAGAGCAGTTTGCCAAAGAATATGTCAGAATATGCATCACCAGCTCTCAGAAAGAGGTGAGCTATGCCCTCCTCTCAGAGGGTATGAGCTATGCCCTCCTCTCAGAGGGGATGAGAGGTCATGCAGTAAACATTTCTGGTGTAGTGATGGCCATGCCATGGGACCTAGCAGCAGCTCTCATTTTACTCTCTTCTGATAGGGGAAAACATATATTAGTAGTCATTGTAATTTTTAAAAACCTCATTAACTTGAAAACACACGTATTTTACCTTCTTAAACAACTGTGATTGCTGATCCCTAAAACGAGTTATAAAAATTCTCAGAATTACACTATGTAAGAACTGTGTTGCCATAGTTTTAATTGTAGACTACCTCTGCTCTCAAATCCCTCCTTCTCCTCCTGAATCCTTCTTTTCTTGGAAATAGGTTAAACAAAACCAAAACCAAAACAACAAAAAAATTTTAACTAGCAACATATACTCACTGGGACTTCTCATTATTTCTTGGCAATTTCATTTATATATTGAATTAAGTATGCATTATGTTTTACTTTCCTCAGAGGTGACCCTCCCCAAAAAGAAAATCAATGCCAACCTTGTGAAAACATGTAGAAAATGGGAGTGAGGATAAAAACAAAAATTGGAAACATAGTCCTAGAATTATAAGTTGTTTTTTTTTTTTTTCACACACACAAACAAAAGGATAAGAGGGCATACTTTTTTAACAAAATACTTCAATGTGAGACACAGATTGTTCTCAGATTGCTTTTATCAACAGACTAAAGGCCAGTAATATGTGTTCTAGGAACAACTCTGGTGCTGACCTACCCTAAGTAAAATATTGTGATTCAACTATTAAGATTAAATACCATTGTCAGGGGCAAAATGCTGATATGTATAAAAATTCCTGAAGGATAATAGTTTTTCCTTGCCTTAAGAAAAATTATCAAGTTTCAGTGGAATAAAATAACATGGCACCACTATAAATATCATTGTTATGTTGGTCAAAAATGCTTTGGATTAAAACAAAAGAATCTTAAGCTAGTCTTAGAATGATTACTTTGCATTTACCTGAGAAAAGAAGGCCAGTCATAAATGAATTTACCAAGAATTCTATGATCTGAGTCCTTGATGAAAGCTCATTAAAATAAAAATCAAAGACTCTATTATCTCATTTTACAAATAAACACAATCTGGAAATATATGCCCCTTTAAAGAAAGGGTTTATGGATGCCACATATATTTTGTGGTAGCCCTTTTCCCTTATTATGATCATAATATCATAAGGACTATAATGCATTGATTTATTTATGAGAATCCCAAGCAGGATAGCATTAATAGGCAGGAGAGAGAGGAGAGAGGCAAGATGGTAAGAGAAGAAGGACAGAAGAAAAAAGGAGAGAGGAAAAGAAGGAACAATTCACTAAGTTGCAGTTTTAATCAGATCATCTTTTAAAGGTTTGAAATTATATGCTAACCAAGCAACAGCCTCATGAGAACACTTTCATTATAGTTATCAGTGAAGTAAATAACTTAACCTGAAATGTTCATGGTTGCACTGTAATAACTCAGAACAAGGATTCTCAACTTGTGCTGTCCACTATTAAATTAAAAAACACACAAACAAACAACAACAAAAAACGATGGCAACTTAAAAAAGTAGATATGCTGAATGGCTGTTAAAGGTCTAAGGTGAAGTCTTGTCTTCATTATCTGACTAAAACCAGAGTAAGACCAAACATAATCACTAACAACATCCAATATATCACCTTGTGGCCATTAAGAATGTTTCCCCAATTTAGGAATCCATAAGGTACTTCCAAGACATAAAAGAGAAAAGAAATACTACTAGCATAGTTTAAGATGAAGAGTTCAGACCTCTCTGGATTTTGTTGGACATTTTTGATGAAGATATCTCTGAGATTTAGGGGTCAATATTTATGTTATAGATGCTTCAGTGGATTATTCTTTTGTAGTGTAAAGATTCTTTAAAAATAAGGCACACATAGATGCTGTTCACTGATTGTCTCCCACGAAAGTGCACCAAAAGAGCAATCTCAGGAAAGGGACTCGAGGAACATTTCGCAGAGGTATATCTTTTTCAGCCTACTGGTTTTCTACAGATGGCTAAAGCAGGGTATGGAACATGCTGTCATATTTCATAACACACATGTACTGTAGCTCGAGGCAACAGATGGACAATCGCTTGTTTAAACTACAAATGTGAAATACTAAGGTAGTATAGCAATATTTCTAGAAATGTATATGGAAAAAAAGTCTTTCCAAGCCAAGAGGACTGGCGAGAGGCTGTGAGGTTACACCAGTGTTTCCCTGATTTTCCTAGCAGCTGCCAGCATTTCCCCAACACCCTTCAGAACTTGATAACAGAGGGATCAGGGGGCCACAGACACAGATTTGACAAGAGTAGCCCAAACCATATCACATAGAAATAACACTGTTATTCCTGGCTGGTTCACATTAACAGGATTTTTACTAACGAGGAAAACTGTGGGAAAGTTGTGTTTTCAGAGCCCTTGCTATGTTCCACAAAACCCTCTACTTCAGCCCTATGGTAGAAGTGCTCTCTTTCTTTCTCTGGACCAAGATAAAAATACTTGTTTAAACATAGTTAGCGTTCTATATACTTTAAGCATCACCGTAAGCATCTCTGAAGGATCTTTCATAGTGAGAACACAGTTACAGTGTTGATAACTCCGCTGCATTAATCAGCATATCCACAATGCAGTAATTTTGATCAGGGAAGTTGCTCCAACAGAAACAATTTGTTAATGAGAAGAAAAAGAACCCACATCTTTGAGCTGCAGAGATTTCCAGCATCTCAAAGCCTTGTTGCTTTATGCTGGAACAATGACTTCTTTTTACATTTTAAAGGCAATTTTGTTTGCATATGGTACTTCCACATTGAGTCAGCAGGAGCTGGAAATCAAGGCAATGAAGAAATCTGGTTTTAAAATGATGTGTACAGCCCATGACAGAGTGGGTTTTTTTCCCTTCTCCCATGTCTCTCACGTTACATAGAATTACAAAATATTTGTGTTCTTGACAATTTTTTAAAACCAGTATATTTTTACCAACTTTCTCTTATAGACTCCATGATATTTTTCTATTATTTTGAATTTAAATGTCAACAATTAAGACAATATATCAAAAGACAATAGAACTATAATCATTAAGGTAATACGATCTTTAAATCTCTGTGATAGGCAACATTTCATGTAACTAAAACAGTAAGGAGTGATTTGACATTGTTTAAACTAAAAGGTTAATAGAAAATATAAGAAAGCAATATAGATCATATATTTAAGAAATCCTGGAATAAAATATTGTAGGATCCTTTCCTTATTATACCTTGTGAAAGAAAAAGAAATCTAAATATTTCTGCTTAAGTATGTGTGCACATTCATTATTATATAAAAGTATAATAAGTCTATATTAAAAAAGATTTACTTTTTAAAAATCTTTGGTAAAGATACTCTGAGGTTATGTGATAAAAACGCACTATAAAGATTGCAAGCAAGCAGTATCCTGTCACGGCCACAGTGATGGGTCTGTGACAGTATTTTCTTCTAACTTTTTTTCTTTGTTGCTTGTAAACATTCAGTTACATAAGGACTTCAATGTAACAAACAAGTAGAATGTTATTGCAATTCATAGTATAAATATTTCATAAATTCTTCCTTTTTTGGCAAAATGTATAATAATATGACTGCTATTCAAGAGATAAAATCCATTTCTTAATAAATTGGGCTCTTTGCTTTGGGCCTAAAGACAGTTTTTCCCAAGCATATCATAGAAAACAAAGTTACTGAAGCAATTCAAACAGATTATATTATCACCCCGATTGTCTAACAGTCAGTGCTCTTTGAGGTCAGCAGCATGGTCTGGGCTTTCATTTGGAAGACAGAAATTCAGAGATACAATCGCTATTGTCTCCATGCTACTCAAAGTGAATCCCATTGTAGTTCACATTATGAGAAATTTAAGATCAAAGATAAGAGCAGTAAGGTAAGGAGAGGACAGTGGTCAAAAACAACTTTAAAAAGATATGATGTTGGAGGTTCTAAAACAAAACTGTTTGGTGACCAAAGCAAATGAGCCACAAATCAACTTGGATGAACTATAGTGACCACAGGCTTAAGAATTTCTTATTGAAAAAAAAAAAAAAGAAAAGAAAGAAAAAAAGAACCATTTTTATGATTATTCTTACTAGAGTAAAATATATTTAATTGGAATTCCTGAGGCATGGGTTGCGATTTAAAACATGCAGAATTTTTTTTTTTTTCATTTCTGTTCTACGTGTTCAAAAAAAAAAAAATCAGACTGAAAAACTGACTCTATTACTTTCGCCGAAACCGGTTTGGCTCAGTGGATAGAGCGTTGGCCTGCGGACTGAGGGGTCCCAGGTTCGATTCCGGTCAAGGGCATGTACCTGGGTTGCGGGCACATCCCCAGTGGGAGATGTGCAGGAGGCGGCTGATCGATGTTTCTCTCCCATCGATGTTTCTAACTCTCTATCCCTCTCCCTTCCTCTCTGTAAAAAATCAATAAAATATATTTAAAAAAAAAAAAATTAAAAAAAAAAAACAAAAAAAAAAAACTGACTCTATTACTTTAAAATCATGAAAAATCTATTTGTGGAATCAGGGAAGGGTACACAGGGGAATGTAACTATATTTGTTATATTTGATTTCTTAAACTGGGTGTTACATATACAGGGACTCATTATATTATTATTTATACTTTTGTGTATATTTAAAATACTTCATAATTTAAAAGTATATACTTGTGGAAGATTTGAAGAAAGGTTTAAGAAATCTCAATCCAAAATATTAATCAGTTTTAAAGACTGCAACCTGCCGTTATTAAGATAGGTATCTCTTCATGAAAGAAACAAGTTAGAACCTAATGAAGTATGGTTCCACAGTCGGCAAGCAAGCATTTCCTGCCCGGCAGAGTTTGAATAAAGATTCCAGGCAGAGACTCTGCATATTTTTAGCACAGAAAGGCAACTATGTTTTTTCAGTGATTGTCTTTGAAAGTGTGGTGAAATGTCACATCAAAAGTCTCCTATGATATGTAATTTCAGTTGCAGAAGGATTAAGAGAATAATGAAACTGTGGTTTCACACTCTTCAAGTTTTCCTGTCTTTTTAAAGTAAACTAGACAAAACTACACAATTTTATTTTGTGTGCCCTGATTAGCAATTACCAGGCAAAAGGACCTGGGCCTGGGGAGCAGGGAACTGAACAGCTCTTTAAAGCTATCTTTCACTAGAGAAAAAAATCAATTTTGGTTGTCATGTTTGAATATTAGAAAAAAAATCAAGATTTCTGATATGAAAAGTAGGACAGTACAGAAAATGTTATATTCTAGAGACAAACAAGTTTGTCTGTAATGTGTCTAGGCGGCAAAGGGGAATCTTCAGATGATATTGTGGGATAATAATGGGCTTTTCAAACTTAACCCCAAATGTTTTTTTCCAGCATATTCTACCTGTAATTTCTTTAGAAAAACATTGAAGTTTGGACCTCTTTTACTAATACCGGTTTTCAAATCAGCCCTGACAACTGGTCACTATAGATTTGGATTTGGATGGTTACAAATGTGGGCTTCTTTTAACCTATCTAATTTACAGCTTAAATTCTTTATAGTCTAACATATAAGTTGTATATTTCCCTCCCTCCCCTGCCAAGGGACATGACCGTTTAGAGCAACAGAAAGATATGATTTTCGATACACAAAGAGAACAACTATCATTTATGATCAGAGGCAACGTGGACATGATAGGATGGAGAGACTTCAAGCCTAAAAGCACCTGTGAGTGGGCAGACTCACCCAGGAAAATCTGTGTGACAGCAAATACCACACTAAAAAAAGCCATTCAACCAGATGAAAAGTGAGACAAACAGAGGGATTAAAGTGTACAGGAATGCAGAAGTGAATGGGATGGAGCATAATCCGTGCAAAAATGTGGAAGTCCTTGGGAACAAAGGCCCATCAAGGTCCTACATAACTAAATGTGAAATGTGTAGTTGGTAAGAACGTTTAAAAAAAAAATCTTACAATCTATGTGTTTCTACAGAAAGGTTCCTACTACATGAAGAACAGAGACCATCCTATAGCTTGAATGCCTTTCTTCTATTTTCCTATTGCTTTTCTTAGTATTCTTCTTCTTCTTCTTCTTCTTCTTTTTTTGGTGTTTTATTCTTCTCAGTACCACCAACTAACCAGATGAACAGGCCACTGAACTTAAAGGTCGGTGCTGGCCTTGGCGGTCAACACTCTGATGCGGGCAGAGTTGCAGGTCTTGCAGAGGATGTGTCCATCCAAAGGGTAGCAGCCTTGGTTATCTCCTTCAGACAGGAGGCCACCACAATCCTAGGAAAATAAAGACAGTTGGAAATGATGCACGTGAACATGAAAACGACATATGTGAAGATCAAGTTCTTTAGCTTACCATTCAAGGCCTCAAGAATGTAGCCACTTTTCTTCCCACTTCACATACCACCAGGCCCCTCCAATCCATCCCCAGTATACAACACAGTATGTCTTAAATAAAATTGAATTAGATATTAAAGATATATAGTAAAATAACTCTCCTAAGGTCAGTTAATAGGAAATACAGGTTCAGGAAGAGAAGGATCCAAACTTATGAGATCTCAGATGGTAGCTTTGTTCCCTAACCCAAATGACAAAACAAGCACAAGAGAAAATAAAACAGATCCCTAACCACTAATTCATTGTTAACTTTTATCATCAGTGGGGGATAAGAAAATGTTTAAAAATCATTTTCTGAACGTGCTGCCCTTTGGAGACCTGGATTCTAGGGGAAAGCCTTGCTCCTCTTTGCTGTATAAATGACTACATGTCCCTTGGGCAAGAAGCCTTCATTGTCACTTCCAGCCTGGATCACAGCTGCTATATATCCTATCTAATAAAATAGAAACATGGTAATTAGCATACGTCTGCTACCCTTCCCATTGGTTAATCAGGGCGATATGCAAATTAACTGCCAGCCAAGATGGCGGCCAGCAGCCAGGCAGCTTGAAACTAACATGAGGCTTGCTTGCTTCAGGGATGGAGGAAACCAACGTTCCCTGCCTGCCTTACCGTCCTCTGAGCTTGCAGTTTGAAACATAGTTACAAATATAGAAGCTAAACAAAACCCCAGAAACCTGCTTTCAGTGAGCCGGGATCTCAGAGCTGGAGTTGATACAGTGTTTCGATTATAGAACACAAACAAACCAGATATCTCCTTTCAGCAGCAGAGGCCTCAGAGCTGGAGTCAGAGCTAAAGCTGGCCCAGAATAAAAAAAAAATAAAGGAGCAGTTGGGAGCTTCAGTCACCTGCCAGCCTGAAAACAGCCCTCAGCCCCTCACCCAGACTGGCCAGGCACCCCATTGGGGACCCCCACCCTGAAGGGTGTGTGAACAGCTGCAAACAGCCATCATCCCCTCACCCAGGCTGGCCAGGCACCTCAGTGGGGACCCCCACCCTGAAGGGTGTGTGACCAGCTGCAAACAGCCATCATCCCCTCATCCAGGTTGGCCAGGCACCCCAGTGGGGACCCCCACCCTGATCCAGGACACCCTTCAGGGCAAACCAGCTGGCCCCCACCCATGCACCAGGCCTCTATCCTATATAGTCAAAGGGTAATATGCCTCCCAGCACCAGGATCAGCAGAGCCTTGAGGCCTCCTGGCACCGGGATCAGTGTGACAGGGGGCAGCGGCCAAACCCCCTGATTGCCCTGCGGCTCTCTGTGTGACAGGGGGCGGGGCCACAACCTCCCTATCTGCCCTGCTCTGTTCGTGACAGGGGAAGGCGCCCCAACCCCCTGATCAGCCCTGCTCTGTGCCTGATAGGGGTGAGCTCCGCAACCCCCTGATTGCCCTGCGGCTCTGTGTGTGACAGCGTGCCCCAACCCTCTGATCGGCCCTGCTCTGTGGGTGATAGAGGGTGGCTCCACAACCCCCCCCCCCCACAGGCCCTGCTCTGTGTGTGATGGGGTAGAGCCATAATCTCCCCATCAGCCCTGCCCTGAGTGTGACAGTGGCGGCGCCCCAACCCCCTGATCGGCCCTGCTCTGTGGGTCATATAGGGCGGCGCCCCAACCCCCTGATTGGCCCTGCTCTGTGTGTGACAGGGGGTGGCGCTGCAACCTCCCAATCGCCCTGCTCTGTGCATGACAGAGGGCGGCGCCCCAACTCCCCTATCGGCCCTACTCTGTGAGTGACGGGGGGAGCTCCCCAACCCTCTGATTGACCCTGCTCTGTGCGTGACAGGGTACGGAGCCCCAACCCCCCTGATGGGCCCTGCTCTGTGCGTGACAGGGGGCAGCGCCCCAACCACCTGATTGGCCCTGCTCTGTGCATGACAGGGGGTGGCGCTGCAACCTCCCAATCGCCCTGCTCTGTGCATGACAGGGGGCGGCGCCCCAACTCCCCAATCGGCCCTGCTCTGAGCCCGACCAGGGGCTGCACCTAAGGATTGGGCCTGCCCTCTGCCGCCCAGGAGCAGGCCTAAGCCAGCAGGTCGTTATCTCCCGAGGGGTCCCAGGCTGCGAGATGGCACAGGCCGGGCTGAGGGACGCCCCCCCTCCCCCCAGAGTGCACAAATTTTTGTGCATCGGGCCTCTAATATATATATATATATATATATATATATATATATATATATATATATATATATTCCTGTTCCTGTGGCACTTTGTGCATAAATCTTCTGTAGCTCTTAGCAGTCACCTGACCTGTGGTATAAAGTGCTCAGTCAGTTCTGGCTAACTTAATGAATCTCCATGACTTTGAACATGAAGTTCCAACCCCTCTTAAAGGAATAAATTTTTATCCTCCTCCATGGGGGACAATGGTGTCTCTGCCTCACAGGAATATCAGAGCCCAAGTGAAAGATTCAATATAGTAACAACAACAACAGCAATAACTTTTCCTACTCACTTAGCACTTTGTATTTGACAGTCTTCTTGAACATGCAATTTTGCATTTTAGTCACACAGCCATGTTTGGGAAAGATAAGAATGAGTCCTTTTAATAGGTGTGGAAATAGAGAAAGAGAGAGGTAAAGTGACTTTTCCAACATCACTAGCATTAAGTGCCTGTGTCAGATCTAAAACCCAAGTCCTTTGAAGACAGGCACTCGGGCTGTCCCAGATTGAATAATTGCTATGTTTATGAAAACCTGGCTCTAGTGGGCCTTTCAACGCCTGCCTTGTAAGATTTGAGGGTGCAGACCACAGACCTCACACCGGTAGCAGTGAACATGGAAATCACGATCCAGAGCCACAATTCGGACAGTCTCCTCCTGGCCGGGGGCTGGCATGATAGGCTCCTTGCATACAGAACATCGAGGGGCAAATTTCCTGAAAACAAAGAGATAATTCTGGTTAGGTACTGAGCATAGACAATGACAAAGAGATAAAACACAAAGATTAAAATAAAAGAATAAAAGGTGTAAATTGAGAGGACATTTGATCTACCATTCTGTGACCTTAAGCAAGTCATTTTCCTTCTTTGGTTCTGCTTCCTCAACTCTAAAATAAAGGACTTAGACTTACTGACTGTTGAGGTCCTTGTAGATCATAAATATTATGATATTGGGTGATGTGGGGGAGTGAGAGTGTGAATTGCTTTTGCATGAGAGCACCTGGGAGCTACTGGCCATTTGGTATGTGGCATGGAATTCACCTGTGAACAGATTCCAAACACACACCCTGGGCTTGGGCAAGATCACCTGAGGGGAAAACATAAGTCCTGGAGGTCCCTACTTGTCTCTGCTATTTGATTCTAGAGTTTTGCATGTGTTCCCCAGACCTGACCAAACTTTCTGAGCTTGATAACTTTGCCTCCTTCCCAGTTATCAGAGCCTCTTCTTTGAAATGTGTCTTGAATTCTAGGAATTAAACCTCAAATGACTATTTTTCAAAATAACAGAGGTTAGTGAGTTTAAATACTCTTTACACCAAACTTACTATGGCCAAGTCTTCATTTCTTACATTTTGCTTATGTTAAACTTTTGTTCGAAAAACAAGAAAGTTATTAAGAAGAATCAGTCCTCTATTCTTAGCCTCTGGGTTGGTCTAGATCAGTGATGGTGAACCTTTTGAGCTCGGCGTGTCAGCATTTTGAAAAATCCTAACTTAACTCTGGTGCCGTGTCACATATAGAAATTTTTTGATATTTGCAACCATAGAAAAACAAAGACTTATATTTTTGATATTTATTTTATATATTTAAATGCCATTTAACAAAGAAAAATCAACCAAAAAAATGAGTTCATGTGTCACCTCTGACATGTGTGTCATAGGTTCACCATCACTGGTCTAGATTGTAATCTTCAGATGTCCAGTGATCTGGACAATGAAACAATTTCTTCTCAAAGTCACTTAAAGGAATGATGTATGGACAGGCATTGATGTACAATGACCTGATGTTGGTCCAGGTATTCATGCAGGACTGGAAAGTTCAAAAGTTTAAGTTTCCAGAATCAGTTTAAAAAGTATAGAATTGCCCTCGCTGATTTGGCTCAGTGGATAGAGCGTCAGCCTGTGGACTGAAAGGTCCCAGGTTCGATTCCCGTCAAGAGCACATGACCAGGCTTCTGGCTTGGTCTCCAGTGGGGGGCATGCAGGAGGCAGCCCGTCAGTGATTCTCTCTCATCATTGATGTTTCTAAAGAGTGTCCCAAAATTCATGCAAGAAGTAATTTTGATAGAAAACACAGGTTTATAATGAAAAATTGTAAACGTTTTATTGATAAAGTATACAGTATCGGGTTATGTATGGAATAGCATATCGGGCAAATGGCCTCCACGGCTTTGCTGGCACATACGCACTCTTTTGTTGAAATTTTCCATGACCGTTTTGCATAAATGTGGCTGAATTTCATTGATACAGTGCTCAATTTCCTCCTTCAAGGTGTAGGTGGTCGTGGGCTTATTGGCATAAACCTTAGACTTCAAAAATCCCCAAAGAAAAAAGTCCAATGGCGTTAAATCGCATGATCAGGGCAGCCAATTCTGACACCAAAACGGGAAATTACATGACCAGGAAATGACTCATGCAGTAATTGAATTGTTTCTCGGGCTGTATGGCATGTGGCACCGTCTTGTTGAAACCACATGTCGTCCACATCCATATCTTCCAATTTAGGCACAAAAAACTGGATTATCATGTTGCAATAGTGAGCACCATTAATTGTTATTGCCTGAGCAGCCGCATTTTCGAAGAAAAATAGTCCGATGATGCCTCTAGCCCAAAATCCGCACTAAACAGTGACACGTTGTGGATGCATTTGTTTTCAACAATCACTCGTGGATTTTCTGAACCCCAAATGTGACAATTTTGTCAATTAACCAAGCCATCAAGATGGAAATGAGCCTCATCAAAATTCAGCCATATTTATGCAAAATGGTCATGGAAAATTTCAACAAAAGAGTACGTATGTGCCAACAAAGCTGTGGAGGCCATTTACCTGATATGCTATTACATACATAACCCTATACTGTATACTTTATGAATCAATAAAAAAGTTACAATTTTTAATTATAAACCTGTGTTTTCTATCAAAATTATTTCTTGCGTGAATTTTGGGACACCCTTTATCTCCCTCTCCCTTTCCCTCTGAAGTCAATCCTATACAATAAAAGGATAATATGCAAATTGACCCTAACAGCAGAATGACTGGGAATGACTGTTAACTATGACACACACTGACCACCAGGGTGCAGACGCTCAATGCAGGAGCTGCCCCCTGGTGGTCAGTGTGCTCCCACAGAGGGAGCTCTACTCAGCCACAAGCCAGGCTGACGGCTGCCAGCACAGTGGTGGTGGTGGGAACCTCTCCCGCCTCCTTTGCAGCTCTAAGGATGTCCAACTACAGCTTAGGCCTGCTCCCCGCTGGCAAGTGGACATCCCTAGAGGGCTGCCAGGCTGCCAGAGGGATGTCTGGTGCCAGCTTAGGCCTGATCCCTCAGGTAGCAGGCCTAAAGCAGGTGGACATCCCCCGAGGGGTCCCAGACTGCGAAAGGGCACAGGCTGGGCTGAGGGACTCCACCGAGTGCACAAATTTTTGTGCACTGGGCCTCTAGTAAAATTATATTAAAAAAAAAAAAAGAAAAACAAGAAAGTTAAAGATTTGTTAAGTTTTGTTATTCTATAATGGATTTTAGCACTTCTGAAGGGTAAGTGTACATGAACACAGAAGCACTTACACCTACATACACATATATGTACAATTTTTGAGGTTAACTGTTGGTGAGGAATTTTAATATTTCTTAATATTGCTTACTATGACTGATAGCCCTAAGAATATTTTTTTTCTCATAACAGATTAATAAGAGGCAAATATCAGCCATATACCCATCTGTATCTGGCATTTAGGGGTGGCATTTGTGAAGGCATGAAATGAGACATGCTTTGAAATAGGTATGAATAAGAAGTGAAAAGATAAAAAAAGAAAAACACTGTGCAACTTTCTTTACTTGTGGCAATGGTTTTAACATTGATGATTTTAAAATTTACTTATTTGTGGTGAGACTTAAAAAGAAAAAATGATAGTAATCTATATTTTGCAGAGCACTTTATGGTTGTCGAAGCATATTTACGTATATTATACTCTATATGTACATATTAATTTTCCTGGCAGCACCCATAAGGCAATCTGCATGGCTGAAATCTAAAAGACATATAAATTAAGCAGTAGATAAATTGATTGCTATGAAAGAATAATTAAAAGGATCATGGTACAACTGCAGCTGTAATCAGGGTTGTTATAATTGGTATTTTACACAAAAAGTTTATACTCAGAGGCAAAAAAAAAATGCTTTGGACTATCTGGTTATTTTTGAATTTGGGTCACCAGTAGCGAAATGAGAAGGCTTCTAGAATCAACTGCAAAATTTCATTTCCCAAACCCATTTGACTATAAATTCTGTAAGGCCAGAAGTATGTCTTGCCCATCACTGTATCCAGGAGCTTTACCCAATTTCCCCCAGTGGGGTTACTTACTCCTCTAGGATGTCTCATTGCATATGCTTATTATAGTAGGAATCATTTGCATATCCTTGGGGACCACTAAATTGTGACCCTCCATAAGACAGGTTGACTGAGTCCCCCAAGACAACCACTGTGACTGGTGCAGAGAGCAGAAATTCAGGCTATATCCAATGAAATGAAGTAGCTGCATTATTTCTCCATAAAAAATATGTTACATGGGCCTTTATGTTCAATCTCAAGGTCCTTCCTTTTTGGAAAAGCATAAACTGTATTCTTACTGAATAATGATTTCTTCCTACCAATTGGCCTCATTTCCATGAACAGAAGAAGTAAAAGCAAGAGGCAGGAAGTGGTTTCTGCAGCCCCCACTCTGTTCATTGGCCAGCGTTTCAAGGACTGTTCTAAATCCCAGGTGGTCTATTTCAAGGTTCAGCTCACTGAGCAGACAATGATAATAAAAAAATATAAATTTGATAACACTTTTGATGGTTAAAATAGCTACCATTTATTGAGTGCTTATTATGTACCAAACCCTGTTAAGCACTTGACCTTGTTTTCTACTGACAGCAATGTTATGAGGAGCTACTTTTATCATTTCTACTTTACAGCCTCCAGAGCCAAGGCTCAGGGAGGGATGGTCTTAATCATTTTGTGTCCTGGCACATTTCTGGCAATCCACAAATGGGTGCTGAGGAAACAAATGGCTCAGTGTAATATGCATGATAAGAAAGCGCAGATTGTGGAATAAAGGCTCAATACAATGAAAGGGTCAGTTAAAGAAGCCTGCTTTTCTGGGCTCACTGTGCTAGCATTGGGAGTACAGGAATAAACTGGGACTGCAGAAATCAGACTGGTGAGGGAGTTCTATCTATTTCTACTTGAGATATATATATATATATATATATATATATATATATATATATATCCTATTATAGTGAAAAAATCATTTACGGTGATTACTATGAAAGTTTATAGATGTGTATGTCCATGCATGTGTATTTTTATCACTAGTCAGACTATGTTGAGTGTTATCTATAGCTAGTAAAGGATACAAAGTGAAATATGGGGATGGGGAGGGATTGAGATCAGAGAAAGCTTCTTAGGGAAATGACAATTAAGTTGTGCCATGAAAGATGGCCATTTAGGTGAAATGGGAAAGTGTGTGTGTGTGTGTGTGTGTGTGTGTGTGTGTGTGTGTGTGTTGGGGATGAGGTACAGTCAGTCTCCCTGGAACTGCATTTGAGCAATCCTCCAAAATGACATATGGGAAAGAGTTTCTATCTAATAGGCTGGAGGACTTGAGCCAAACCTGACTGCAGGTGGTTATGTAGGGGATGTCCCATTAGCAAGGCCTCAGTATTTCACAGGCTTTTACTCAAAGTGCAATCCAAGACCACCTGGATGATTGTCAGAAATGCAGAACCTTAGGGCCCACCCCCAACCTACTCAATTAGAGCCTGCAGCTAATTAGGTCCCTGAGCACCTGGAAGTTTGGGAAGCACTGGTTGTAAGCAGGCAAGATAAATTCTTTCTCATGGGCTTCCTGTATCTCACAGTATCCCCATCCCCAAGCTACAGCCAAGCAAGTCTTCCTTGAATGTAGAGAAGCCTTTCCTAACTCCATACCCTCATTTATTGCCTGGGCTGTCCCTTCTGCTAGGAATCTCCTAGCTTCCCATTAAAAACACTCTTGAAATGCTGCTTCCAGAAGTTGCTCAGAGCCCAGGGCCAATGAATCTCTTCTGACTCTGGCTCAAGCTTTTGCCCATGCCTATCTCCTGGCTCTGAGCCCTTCCAGCCCAATATCACACATATTCTGTACCCTCCTCCTGACGAGCTCCATGCTGACAAGAGGCTTTTCTCTATGTATCTGTGCATTTTCAACTTAGGCAATTTCTCTCCTTGAGCACTTAGTACAGGAATGAACACACAGAAACCTCTGTGTTTACATTTACATTGAATTAAAATACATTTCCTAAAACCTCACAAAGAGAGACCTATTTAGAATGACCAAGAAAAAGCACCCCCCCCCCCGCCAACTATTTGCAGAAGTCTGCACTGCCCTTAAACTACCCTCTACTTAGCCTTGCTGTGCCCTCGCGCCCCCCCCCCCACCCCCGCCCCCACTTCCCGGGTTTGATTTTTTTTTTTTTTTTGGTATATGATTTTATTGATTTTAAAGAGAGAGGAAGGGAGAGGCGAGATAGAGGAGAGAGAGATAGAAACACCCATGAGAGAGAAACATGGATCAGCTTCCTCCTGCACGCCCCCTATGGGAGGTTGAGCCCACAACCCAGGTATGTGTTCTGGCTAGGAATGGAACCAGTGACCTCTTGGTGCCTAAGTCAACACTCAAATACTGAGCCACACAGGCTGGGTGGGGTTGGATTTGTTAGCTGTCTTGTGTTCTAGTATTTTCAAGACTCAGAAACAGAGTTCTGTAAAATTTTCTCATATTTTTCTTTGAGAAACAGGGAAAAATAAAAAAGAAGCTTTCCCCCCCTAAATCATTGCTAATCATACAGACAACCTATTTTTTAAAAATAATTTGTGTTTTAACATACCACTGAATTAGTGGTGGTGGCAGGGAGACAGTTGGGGGCTTGAAATTTTTTTTTTTTTAGTTGCTCAAGTCTGCTTTTCTGGGGCATTCAGACTCACACACTTATGTCACCAGTTGCAAGTCTCTAATTATGCTCCCCAGTCCCTGAAATGAAAGATAAATGCGTAGATACAAACTTCCATTTGTCAGAATTGATTTCCTGTTTTAATCGAGGGTGTAATCTATCATTCTTTTTCGAAACATGTGTGCTCTGATTATATCTACCACTCTTTCTTGGATTAGGGTAAGTCTAAGAAGGAAGAGAAGCAGTGACAGAAACATACTGCCCATTGGTATCTTTTCAGTTCCCTTAAATAGATGCAGGTTTTTTTTTTGTTTTTTTTTTCATGTGTAATTACAAGCTAAAAATATCAATAATGTGAAGTACAATTTATGCTGTGAATGCCCTTTCAAAGTGAGGCCTTCCTTGTCTAATTCAGGTGGAGAATTTCTGCTTTATTTATTTATTTATTTATTCAGCCTCACGTCTTTTGGTGAGGTTTTCGCTTTCTTTGCTACTTGGAAAGCGGTCAGGAAATTCATTTTTAAACTATGAGTCTCAGGTCCCCCAACTGCTTGTGGCAAATACCTCCTGGTTGTTGACAATCAACAGAGCGGTGAAAATGAACCCACAAGACTGCACATCTGGAGGCCCTAGAACGGATAGCCACACTGGTGAGCCATACATACCTCATCTCGTTCAGAGCCTCAGACTGCCTGCCTGGAAAGCCACCGCCCCACAAACATAGTCCAGAAGGGCTCTGCATCTACTGTCTACAAATCACATCTAAGCTTTCACATGGTTCCTAAAAATATGTTAACAAATGTGACCAGCCAACGACCCAACTAACAAAGTGGTGAAATAAAAATAAGCAAAACCTAAAACCATAGAACTTTCATGAAAATCCAAGCTATCATAGAGGAAAGAGGGACCTGCAATGAAAGAATTGTGGAAGTGGGGACATATTTTTCCAGGCCCATGAGTAATTGATCTTGACCTTCAGGCTCTACTTTCTAATCCTCCTCAAAAGACTGCACAGTACTGCATTCATTAGAAAATATCATGGGAAAGAGAAGGCCTGGGTGGGAGAAGAGGTGAGGGGAGGGTATGGATGTGTTGATGGTAGTGTTAAGCTGCCTCTATGTACGTGAGAGGCTTTCATTAGTAAGGACTGAACTATTCTCTGTGTCTTTGCCCCATAGTTTCCTATCTGTTGAGTGGCAGGATGGAGAGAGAACCCTTGGCTCAGAGAGAATCCTGGGCTGTTATAGCTGGAGACCTTAAGATAGGGTCTAGTCTAATGACCAAACCAAAGAGCTCAGAGAAATTGAGCAATTTGTTCAGAGTCACACATGTTGTTCAGGTTTAGGCCAGGGAGGGCTAGCCCAGGGTTCTGCCCTTCTCCAATACAAATCCTCTGTAGCTGAGTGAACTTTCTCACAATTACAGCCACACAAAGATGCAGGGAACAAGCCCCAGGGAAGCTGTGAAGCAGTGGACAGGCTGCCAAGACCACATGGACCGCCTGATACAAATTTCTGCATTGCACGAGGAGGATCAGTAAATTCTTTTGAAGGCCCATCAAATCCTGAGATCCCATAGCTCCAAGAGAAGACTGTGTGGCTCAGGTGCCAGGCAGTGAGAACAGATTCTGAGACTGGCAGGCTGGAGGCAGGAAAAGAGATTGCCTACTTGTGGAAGTCCTCAATGCAGTGGATGAGGCCGCCAGCATCCACGGTGAATGGGATCCCATCCAGGCTACGGTGGCACATCACACAGGTGAAGCAGTGAGGATGGTAGGCCTTCCCGGTGGCTCGGAGAATCCGCTCCAAGATGGGCTTGGAGCACACACTGCACTGCTCCAGGGTATTCTGGAGAGAGAAAGAACAGTGCTGATGATGAGGTGGCCCTTCCACAGTGACTTACAGCACGATGGGCACTGTCACAGGACACACTGGCTTTAATGCTCACCACAGTCAGTACTTTTATAATCTCTATTCTTGAGAGAAGGAAACACAATCAGATGGATCCCATGGTTTTCCTCATGTTATAGAGTGCAGACTTCTTCTGCAAATGTCAAATTTAAAACATGTCTTCTGACTCCTCCCCTTGTCCCTTCCCACTACAGCCAGGTTGATGGCAGACTTTTAGATAAAGGCCCATAGAGGACATATTTCTGGCTTTCTTTCAATAGTGCGATTTTGCCATTGTAGTGCAAAGGCAGCCATAGACGTACATAAGCAAATGGACATCATTGTGTTTTAATAAAGCTTTATATACAAAAGCAGGTGGTGCTCTGGATTTGGCCCATGCTGTAATTTGTTGACCCCTGAACTATCCAACTCAGGTTTTCCACTGGAAGAATGCTTCACTATTACTTCTAACATTTGCTTCATCATCAAAGACCTAGTGGGGTCATCAAGGACCCTAACATTTTCCAGTGTGGTCTGTCTGGTAACAGACTCACAGAGCATGCAGGCTGCTGACCCCAGTCATAGCTCAGCACAACCAATGAGGCCAGTGATCATGAATACTTGATTCAAACATCAACTCCAGTTTAGTACTGTAAGCTCTCAATGGAAATGTTGAACCTAGAGGGGTTCAAGTTTTGAGAGATCAATTAAGAAAGTCAATTTATCTGGCTGAATACATATACTGAGTTTTAAAAATAAATACCCCCCCATAAAGAGGATACCCTTTATTGAGTCAGGCCTCTGAAAAACTGATAAAATTAGCTGTTAACTTTTCATCCTTCCCTAGAACTTCATGTGCTCTTTCCTAACAACCATGTTTCGCATGTAATATGCTATATTCCAACTGAGATGTCTGGACTGAGTCACTGAGTTTACAATCTAGAATAAACCTGGGATGGGTTGCTGATGAGAAAGATGCAGAACTAGAAGGGATATGGAAATTAAGGAGTAACTGCCCTCATACCAGGAGAACCTTTAAATGGCCATTAGGCAAGAAGTACCTGTGGGTAGATAACAAATGTATTAACGTCTCAACTACAGCAATGGTCTCCAATGGGCTTCCTTATTTGCATGTTGCTTCTTTTGTAATACTTCCCTATCCCCAAAGTGACTGCCAGTTTCCTTTCCAAACCACAGATGTAACCAAATAATTTTCCTGTTAGCAAAAACTTATATGGCTCCACAATGTAAAAAGAGCTAGTTCCATATCTGACATTCAACCTCCCTTTCTAGGCTGAGTTCCTTAATGTCCTGGACTTCTTACACACACTCACACCTATGAGAAACTTCCATACTCCTGCGCATTGGCTAATTAACTGCAATTTGCCATATTGACCTTTCGAAGTATGGGTCAGAGGACAACTTTACAGTGAAGCTTTCCTTGATGTCTTCATTTGGAATAAACTGGTTCTTTCTCTCCCCTTCCTGAGCTTTTGTGCCCACAGGGTTCACTTGTATTAAAATTATTTGCACAGATGTCTATTTCCTCAACTAGACTGCAATTGCCTTAAGGGCTAGGACTATGTCTTAAGAATGTATTTCTCTGTCCCATATTACACCTAGTATACTACCTGAAATAAAATCAGCAGGGTGAATGTGTGCTAAAAGAATGAAGGGAGCATATTGTTTACACCTCACCTTGCAGCACACCATTGGCCTGACTCCCCTGACTCAGGAATCTCTCCTAAGATGAATTAGTAAATTCATCACTGTCCTCTCATCAAAGCTGTGGTTGCTGGGGTTTCTGAAATTGCTCAGTATGCCTCTGGTCATAGTCTAAACTCATGGAAATTATCAACCTACCCCCTAACCCCTCCAATTTTAAAGTGGTAAAATTAAAATAGCAGAAAAACATAAGATGAAAGTCTGGAGACAATGATGGTCTGGACAATGAAGGCCTTGCTACTTTTCTATCCTGGTGATCTGAGCTAATGTGGCTGGAAACCATCTTCCTGAGACTTGTGTTTTGTTCCTCTTGTGGGTTTTAACTTTTTAAGTTTTTTTAAGGGCAGCCTGTAATGGAGTTGAACAAACCAGAAAATGCTTGACCAGAAAATGTTATTGTTTGTATTGAGGCTTGGCTGCAAGTTTCAGCCAATTTACTTAAAACCATCATGACCTATAGAAGCACCATTTAAAGGACAAGTAATCTGAACATTTCTTCTATAAAGGCAAAACTGTGTAAAATATGCCTAAAGTGAGACTATTGTGAAATGCCCACATATGAGAAATTAAAGGTTCCAAGAATGTAGCTGTTAGCCTAGACTAGCAAATGGTACTGGAGGACAAATTAACCTTGTCTATTCAGTTCCCTTTACTGTACTCATCTCCTTTCAGTCTTCAATTGGTCCACTAGGACCCTTAGACATATATTCTATTAGAGAAAGGATAAAGACTCTTACAATGTCAGGGAGGAGGGCACTGAGCATTCCTGTAGTCCAAGCCTCTGATTTCAGAGGTGAAAAAACAGACCTGGAGCCCTGATGTAGTTGGACCTGGGCCATGGAGTTCAATAGGGGCAGATGTCGGACTGGCATTGTTCAGAGAGGGATCAGATGAATTCATTATGTAGCAATAGAGAGGGAAAGTTGCTAGATAAAAACTATGAGTTATCCTTCTGGCTTTGTCAACATGCAGCGTACAACCTTGGGTAAACAATTTTTTCTCTCTAGACCCCAGTTTTCTTGTCTGTAAAACAATGATTAATTTTAACTCTGCAATTTTATTACTCTGTGCTACATCATTGTTAACAACAATAGGAAAAGGCCAATGTTTCCAACACTAGCTATATACTAGAAACAACTGGATAACCCCTCGTTTGATATGTGAAAGGAGGGTTCATGTATTAGAATTCTACACTATGTAACATCTACTCTGTCTGGAATTTCACTTGGAATTCCAGAAATTGCTGTTGGTAGAATTTCAAGCACCATAGATGATCTTTGTGTCTTCACAAAGTAGATTAAAATGAAAAGGTTAATAAATAATTTTTAAGAAAGTAAAACAAAAGAAGGTCTTCAAGCAAAAGAGTGGAAGAAGGATGTCACTAAGTATATCTACTCAAATCACATTTGTATGTGGAGTAAGCATGCTGTGATTGATCAATGGCGAGGTAGAAGGGAAGAGCCTACTCCAGCATAAGAACCTTCAAATGCAGGAATGCGTTTCATGAGCTGGCTCTGGATCAGCCTCTGCTGCTCTCCCCACAGCCTCCACCTTCCTGCTGTCATGAGCTTTCTGCCACATCTTTCATAAGCTATGTTCTACAGGCTCAGACTGATTCATATCCTTTCTTTTTTGCCTCGGGAATACCTAGTCATTCTTCAAAGTTAAGCTCAAATGTTACCTCTTCTGTACAGCCTTTCCTAATTTTCCCTCTGCTATCCTCCAAGAAAATAAGTCACTTCTTCCACTCCCATAAGTTTGTATAATGTTTCTCTTATGACACTGAATGTAATGTACTTGATTTAATGGTATGACCAAACTGAGCCCACACCTCCTGTCCCCACCCCCACAACAAGGAGCCATAGACATAGGTTGAGTTTCCTAGGAAGCATTCTCAAACAGAGATTTGCACATGGGAAGTTACTGAAGAGTGTCTTTGAGATCAACACCTGTGGGAGAGTGCAGGAAGTTCCTGAGTAGAGGAGTTGAACTAAGATGCAGCTACAACAAAGGATTCTGAGGGTTCCATGGAATAGTCTGGAGCTGGAATGGCCATGCAGAATTGTTTTTCCTTGAAACTAGGGGATAGAGAACTTACATCACTGCACCTTGAGTGAGGATGAAGTTCCCTTGAGGGTAATTAGCAGAGAAGGACTCAGCTATGAACCATCAACTGCCAACAATCCCAGCATCTGGAGGAATGAGAGCCTCAGTTCTGAAGAGGGATCTGGGCAGTGTATTACAACATCCCCAACAGCAAATATCCTCACCCATGCCTGCATAGTCCATAGCACACAGGAGACAACTGGTAACCAGCTATGACATAAATACCTTATAGTTTACTCTGAATGAAGAGTCTAAATTTTATTCTTTTTAAAATAAAATCTTGGCATTATTTGAAGATTTTAAGGATTTTTATAAATTGTTTTGGGCAGCTACTCCAATGAAAGTATAGTTAAAAAGAAATGATGTTATAGAATAGCAGAAAAAAGCCAAATAAAAAATTAGCTGTTAAGATGCACAGCTTTACACTCTTTTGAGATGATGGCAATATGACTGTGATTAAAAACAAAAAAAGTTAAGTAAAAATAAAAATAAAATCACACAAAAAATCTTGTACACACAACTTCCCAAAGCAACCGTTTTTAGAGATACAATCTGGTTGTATCTTTTCTATCCTTGGATATTGTATAAATAACTTTTCCAATTCACAGTCAGAAGCTGGAAGAATCATCTGAATATAAATGAAGCATATAGGTAGCATAAGCATTAGCTACTAGTAGATTATAAAGAAATAACATTTTTATAGTTTATATATTGCATAGGTATACATGTGTTCAATGTTAAGTATTTTATTTAAAGAGATATAAGTATTTGAAGATTCAGCAAACTCTAAAGTGTTGCCATTTAGAAATGTTAAATTTTTCATTTCATAAAATTAAAATGTAACCTTATATTCAATCTTTATTTTTTTAAGGTAAGAAAGCAATATTGAAACAGGAAAGACTCTTGGAAAGATAAGGGTGACATCTCACATTCTAGATACAGTTTTCTTTTGTTTTTTGGATAAGAATTAAAAAAAAAAAAAAAACAGAGTTAAAGAATACCAAACCTTTAAAAGTCTTTAGCGATTATTCTAGGTCAGGAATTTTCAACTTCTCTCACTTGCCTGTCTTTCCTATAATCCTTTGTTCAGGGAAATAATTTATGAAGGAGACACATACAAAAGAGCC